AGAGACAAAGTTAGAATGAAATATAAACAGAAGGAAAATTGAAAATTTCAAACTTGTCAGAAGAACAGGACGCAGGTAAGATTCACTCCCTTTCCACTTTCTAGTCAGTAGCCAAAATCTTAATTGATTGATCGATATTCCTGGCACTGACACAACCCTGGAAATTGAGCTCCATATTTTGGGCATTCATAAATGTCAAGGAGCTTACAATCTAATGCACGCCATAGATGGGTCGAAAATCGACCAAAAAAAAAAATCGGCCAATTTTTTCACCATTAGTGGGTTAATTGGTCGGCCATTTTTCGGGGTTTTGGCACTTTTTTTTTTATCGGTAAAGTTGGAAAATTTGCGGCCAATTTTGACGATTGGCCGATTATCCCAGCAATGATGGGCAAATCGGCCGATCATTTTACTGATAAAAAATCTGTGCATGGGCCATGACCTGCAAGAAGTAGAAAAAGAAGAAGCAGAAGAAGAAGAATTCCAGTCTGCTATTATATTTTACATCAACAGTATTGCAGTTGCAACAATGTATCTATTTGTATCCAAAAAAAAAATATCTGTATCCGGAATGGATACAAATGGATACATTGTTGCAATCGCAAGACTTTTCATGTAAAATATAATAGCAGAGATCTCTGCAAGGTACAGAAGTAAAAATGCAGGCCATAGACGGGACGAAAATTGGCCTTTTTTTTTACCGTTGGTGGTAACGTCGGCCGATTGGACGACTGATTTTTCGTTTTTTTTTTTTTTAAAAAAACAACTGGTTTTTGACATATACTCGGCCCAATTAACCTAACAGCATGTCTTTGGAGTGTTGGCAGAAAAACACATACATACAAGGAAAGCATGCAAACTGAGATACAGACAGGTGCAGCCATGACTGGGATTAGAACCCATGACCCAAGTGCTGTAAGTTCTGAGTTCTAACCATTCAGCCACTGTAGGAGACAGAGTTTGAGCTGCAATGTAGAATAGTTACATTGTTTACAAATAATGATAAAGCGAGCGCTGGTCACATTATATAGACTACTAAAATGGTATTACACAAGATAAATATAAATCTAGGTATAGATATGAAGGTAGCAGCTAGCACTCAGGGTATTGGCAACAGTCCCAGAATAGAAATATGTTACAGTAATAGTGCAGCGCTATAAATGCATGTTATCAATCATAAACACATGTAAAGTCAACAAAGTGCAAATAAGTGCAATAATGATGTAAACTGGTAAATGGCGCTAAAAAAAAAGTTCATCTAATCATTCCTGAATAATGGAATGTCCTTGGTGTGAGAGTACCAACTCAGAGAGTGCCTATGAATGGCACGTGTGGTTTATTCATGACGGACAGTAGTACATGGACTCATGAAAGGTAAACCACCCTTGGGACTGGTCTACACTCACCAGACAACAAAAGTATTAATGCGCATGGGTTATACACATCACACATCTGGGGGTGCAGCAGTATGCTGGCAGCTATGGGTTAGTTATCCAGCTCCATCCATCCATCCATCAGGGTGGGTACCAAAATGGTCCTGGGGAGGAATTAGCTCAGCCACAGGAGCCAGAAAGGTGCTTAATAGTGTAGTACTTTATTATAATGGTCATGAGTAACAATTTAAAGTATCCATGTGGAGTAATAAAAATAATAGCAAAGTGAGTACCAAGATGGTGGATTCTCCTCAATGGCGGTGGTATGGCATCAGCAATAGAGCTTCACCCAATGCATTTCGTGTACCAACACGTCCTATTGGTGTACCCTGAGGACATGTTGGTACACGAAATGCATTGAGTGGAGCCCTATTGCTGATATTGGCACTCGCCCTGATGGATGGATGGATGGAGCTGGATAACTAACCCATAGCTGCCAGCATACCGCTGCACCCCCAGATGTGTGATGTGTATAACCCATGCGCATTAATACTTTTGTTCTGGTGAGTGTAGACCAGTCCCAAGGGTGGTTTACCTTTCATGAGTTCATGCACTACTGTCCGTCACAGATAAACCACACGTGCCATTCATAGGCACTCTCTGAGTTGGTACTCTCACACCAAGGACATTCCATTATTCAGGAATGATTAGATGAACTTTTTTTTAGCACCATTTACCAGTTTACATCATTATTGCACTTATTTGCACTTTTTTTGATTTTACATGCGTTTATGATTGATAACATGCATTTATAGCGCTGCACTATTACTTTAACATAGAATAGTTACGTGATTACAGAGAAGGGAGATATATCATTATATTGGGAAATTAGAACTAGACATTCCAAATTATTTGAGATATAAGTGTGAAAATGTTTGACATTTGAAAATAGAATGTATGACATTCATTAGTAAATGCAGTAGTTGTCTGATCATTTTGGAGAAACAGCAACCCCCCCAAAAAAAAATATATAGGTGTACTTTTTTACTTTAAATTCTAAGTATTCTCATATGCAAACAGAAAAACACCAAGGGGACAAAGCCCGCAGTTGTGCGCCACCTAGCCAACATATCCGGTATTGCACCTAAAAATGTACCAGATGCGATTCCACATTTACTAACAGGAAAGAGTCTATAAGTAGACGCTTTTCATTGAATTTTCTAGACGCTTTTCTGAAGACTGACAGGTCTAGAGTGTTTGAATTGAGTCTGCCTGAATGTTCAGCATCTGCTGGTAGACTCAATTCTTCGTAAATCAGGGCCTTTATGTCTATGTCATATGGACTTTTGATATTTGTATATTATTCATCTTTGGTCCTTTATATGATTTTAGCTGCATTTTTTATAGAAGCATCTAGGATCTTATTTATGTGGTCATATATATTATTTTTTATGATGATCTCATATTATGGTATTGTCAATTTTATTATTATCTTATTCGGCTGGTGTTTTTAATTTTGCTCTTTTGCCATTGATATATATTTTAAAACTTCTATTTTAAAAGCACTTATTATACTTCTTCCTTATGTAGCCATATAAATCAAATAACCACTTAGAGGGGCATCTTTAATATATACCAGATTGTATCTGCCACTCTTACGCCGCCCTGCTTTCACTGACGATTTGTATCATCTTTCTCGGGTGACAGAAGCAGTGCTCACATCTCCCTTTAACAGGGAAATGACACATTCACTTTATATATGGCAAAATGGCACCTGCGGAGCCACGCATGCACACTCCATGGACCTCAACAAAATGGCGGCTCTGATATGCGCACGTGCGATTGCCGCACCAGCCTATATATTGAATGGAGGTCTGTCATGCTACTGTTGGCCTCCCCTCTGATGATGTGCTCTGCACGAAAGGCCTAAGGAGGAGCCAACAGAGCGTGACGTCACAGCCGCCCGGAGGCACGAGGAGGCCCGTGGACCATCTTAACTAAGGGGTCAGTACTACTCTGCATTATTATTGTGATATCTGAGTGATATATACTACCCTGTTTTAACCTACATTTTGAGCAATAAAAATCTTGAAACTACTACACTATGGGCATTTGTCCTTTGGTTCCCTTTGGAGCCAATTAACTTCCAGAATACCCCATTATGATCCACTACCACCAGAGGGAGGGAGGCCTGTATCCAGGCTGTGCACCCATTCAACCTTAAGGGGAACTCTGGACTTAGCAGTTTAACCACACATCACCAAGACAAGATTATCTACCCTTAGATGGAAGCTCACCTATTCCGCCCTGCCTCAGTGGATACTGATTACATGCGCAATATTTATGCGTGTCAAGGGAGTGCGCATTTCTATTATTTGTTCCTGCCACAAGTCTTGGTATTCTGCTAAAACAAGTGGATCATCTTTTACATATATCTTGGGAACTATTTATTTATGCTTCTAAGTTTTATGGACAATTTATGATTCATTGAGAATATCTAGCGCTGCACTTTATTTTATTGATTTTATAAGGTTTGCTGTGATCACTTAGTGCATTGCCTGCTGACTCGAGAAGGCTCACTTTTATTTATTTATAGCAATGTTCTATATTGAAGTTTGCCGTCATTGCACCGACACACACAATAGTTTTTTTGTTCAATAAATGTTTTATTATAAATTTACATTTAACAAGATTGAAGCATAAAAATCAGGAAACAGTAAAGGAAAGAATCCGATTGGTCAGGAAGATCCCTTGTCTGGAATGTGGGGGCGGAGTCATTATTATTGGTGTACAATACAATACACAACGTGTTCCATTATTATAACAAAGTATTGTAGAAAAGATCCCAACATAGAAAATGGGGGAAAGGAGGAAATAAAGGCGGATATGAAGGGGAATCTGTGTACGGGGAACACCTTAACAATCACCACCATTTTATTCTCCAGGGCCTCTGATGTCACAGAATAGATGTTTGGGGGTTTATCTCATCTTCAGGACCAAAATCTGCATTTTCCCATGTGTGCAAAATCATGCAGAAACAGCTCTGGCAGTGAGAGGGTTAATGTGGGCTAGATGGGATCACTCTGCTGGGGTGACAGAGCTCCCCCTAGCTGCAGCCTGGTAATAACATTGCTGGGAGGTCTATTCATTTCTCTGCTCCATACTTCCCGTCTTTATAGAAACATCTCCTGACATTTGGAGGTCTATTCATAGAATGTTTGTATAGCAATTCCCTCAGTGAGAGTTCATGTCCATTCCTCCTGTGTGAATGAGGAACCAATGTTATTAGGACCACATCTGAGTTGCTGGAATGTCTTCCATTCATGGAAAATACATTGAAAACTTCTTCTCCTGATATCAATGGCCAACCCGGTCCCACACTTCATCCATGTCTTTGGTGACCTCTGATCTCCTTATGAACTGTTTCTTCCATGATGATGATCAGCCATGGAGTATATCTGAGGTGTATATCAGGGTGTGCTTCTTCCCCACATGAGAGCTGGGATGTCCAGCAACATTCATCTAGAAGACATTTCCCGCACTCAAGGCACTAATACACCTCCAGGGTTGTGTGGGATCCCTGATGTACAGGAAGACAGGACTTCAGTGAGGAACATTTCCTTCACCTCAGTACAGGAAAGTGGCTTCTCCCCGTGTGTGAAACCTCTGATGTCTGTAAAGATTGGAGTTCTGTGAAAAACATTTCCCACACTCAGGACAGGAATATGGCTTTTCCCCTGTGTGAATCTCTGATGCGTGTGAAAGATAGGCCTTCACTGAAAAACATTTCCCACACTCAGGACAGGAATACGGCTTCTCCCCGTGTGAGATCTCTGATGTGTTTGAAGACTGGACTTGTCTGAAAAACATTTCCCGCACTCAGGACAGGAATACGGCTTCTCCCCCGTGTGAATCTCTGATGTTTATGAAGAATAGACTTCACTGAAAAACATTTCCCGCACTCAGGACAAGAATACGGCTTCTCCCCCGTGTGAGATCTCTGATGTGTGTAAAGACTGGACATCTGAAAAAAACATTTCCCGCACTCAGAACAGGCATATGGCTTTTCTCCCGTGTGTGAGATCTCTGATGTTTTTGAAGACTGGACATATCTGAAAAACATTTCCCACACTCAGGACAGGAAATGTGTCTTCTTCCCTGTGTGAGATCTCTGATGTGTGTAAAGATTGGACATCTGTGAAAAACATTTCCCACACTCAGTACAGGAATATGGCTTTTCTCCTGTGTGAGATCTTTGATGTGTGTAAAGATGGGACTTCCTTGAAAAACCCTTCCCCACACTCAGTACAGAGAGAACTCTCTTCCCTGTTGGAAGGCCGGCCCAGTCCTGCACAGTCTGAGGTTCCTCAGGATACGAGGAATCCGATGGTCCATCTACACTGGGTGGTGCCGGATGGACATTGGAGGGAGCCGGGTTTTCTCCTGGATTATACTGTGTGATGTCCTCATCTTCTACTTTCCAGTCTGGAGACAAAGTGAGACAATCCTCGGAGGTTTTCCTCATCTCCGGCCATGGACTAAAATACAAAGACAAAGAGGTTACTAGACAGGAGCTGATTGGTTCCCCCAAACCAGGACTCCACCCACATCAGGCAGCTTGGTCTCTGAGGAGCTTACAATTCCACCCTCAAGGGAACTAGGAAATGGCTCCTCTGATCTCCTACCAGGTCATTTCTTTATTCATGGACCTTAGTCAGAGAGTGAGGAAACAACCAGAACTGTCTTTTATAGGAGGGACAGTGATGAGGGGATTATAGGACGAGGGTCCCCACCCCCTCTATCACTCATCGCCATCTTCCCAACACAAGAAGTACTGCACTTCCTTATTTAGTCCATGATTTAGTCATGAAGAACAGCGGGGCTGAGCCCCACCAGAGGTCAGAGAGTGAGGATGGGGGGAGAACAACCAAGATGAAGACTGGACTGATCCTGAAGACCACCATCATTGGGGTATTGACTCCTCCCTCATTATCACTTTCTGTTTAAGGGTTCAAAGTTGGAGGATGTTATCACATTATTATCACCATGTAAAAGTCTGTGCTCCAATCACATCATCCGATATAAAATGTCCAGCTGGTAGGAAATGGGTGTAACAAAAGAGAATCCATATTATGTGTATATATAGAAGTGGGGGGGGAGGGGGGGGGAGAGCAGAAGTCTGGAGATATAATGTACAACATGGAGTATATAGTGCAGGGGTCAGGAGTATGTAATGTACAACATAGAGTATATAGTGCAGGGTTCAGGAGTATGTAATGTACAACATGGAGTATATAGTGCAGGGGTCAGGAGTATGTACATACAACAACATAAAGTATATAGTGCAGGGGTCAGGAGTATGTAATGTACAACAAAATGTATAGTGCAGATTTCAGTAGCTATGTAATGTACAACATAGACCTGTAGCAATATGTATGTATTGTAAATTTAGTTCAGTCCTTGGGGTCAAGTAATAATTCAGTCATAGGTACTCAGAGACAGATGGTCACCAATGTAGCATCTAAAGGGACTAGCTTCCTCAGGCTGGAAGTGGCACCTGGGTGCTAATAATGATTTTGTCACCTACATGTAATCAGACTCTGCCATCTTCCTGAAGATGAAAAGAGAAACGAGAGACATTTTGGCTTCATGACACCAGGGGGTCTCCGGTCTGTCTAGAGACTCTATAAAGTATATACAGGGATCAAAGGAGTATGTAATTCATCCCTCATGAAAGCTAAAATATTAGTTGCAGAGAGATGAAAATACTTCCTTCTGGTTGAACACTCTGTAGGCTGCATCAGCATGTAAAAACTATATTTGAGGCCTACGTAGAATGCCAGAAAAATGCAGGAAATGGTTATGTGGCGCTGGGGTGCGATAACAGAACAGTGATTGATACTGTCGCGATCGGACTGATGCGCTGGTGTCGCAAATCCAATCCCTGACTTGGTGATGCAAGCCTGTTTTAGTCAATTGGTATGTCAATGTGACTTTGGGCAGTTCAGCACCCAGAACAGCCTCTGGACGGGTACAAGAATACTCCCCAGAGTCAATTGGCTAAGAATTCAGTGTCCAGCCTACGTCCATATCCCCATAAATGGATATTTGGACATGGTAATTCGTATTGAGCTGGGTCGAACGACTAACCCAGATTACGGACTTTCTCTGACTTGCTCCAGTTGCAGGATAAATCTTGGTAAAAGTTTTATCTCTGTTTTATAGTGAATAGTCATTTGTGCGTCTTCTTGTATTTTTTGTATTTCTGTAACTTTTTATACTTTGTACATATTTTTATGCTCTGCCCACTTTTGGGATATTAAATCATAAAATTAATAAGTGACTTCTGTGTATTTAAACGCTCGGTCAAGCTCATCGCCAATTTGTATGCAATTGCACTGCATGTGGGCAGATTGCGTGCACATTGTAAAGGTAGCAGGTCTGCCAGACGGAGATCTGTGTGTGGTGTCCCCAAACAGACTGTTCTGTGGATAAACTGTTGGATAGTGGCAGGCGTTACCGTTTGTTGTGTCTGGTGTGGGGTGTGTGGACAGTGGAAGAGTGATTAACACCGGGGGGTTCTGGCTTGTAGGATAGCTGGAGGGATCCTATAAGGGGGTGTTGTCGATCGCTAGGCTGCTCCTCAACTCTAATTAGTGCACCAGATTGTATTTAAGATTTATATCTGCCAGTGTGTTGTCGACCAGCTGGAGTCTCCCTCCAGTGGTGGCCAAGAGGTAGTGCGGGCTGTGAAAGTATCATAGCCGTTCTTATATACATTTTATTTATATATTCAAAGTTAAGTCCCCCTTATTCCCTTTTACCCCACGTCACACTCCCACGTCACAGACGCAGTATATTGCGTGCCTCGGTTAGCTAGTCGCTGTGGGCATGGCATGTGGGTGAACTCATTACATGTAATGTACAACAGAGTATATAGTGCAGGGGTCAGGAGTATGTAATGTACAACATAAGTAGTATATAGGTGTAGGGGTCAGGAGTATGTAATGTACAACATAGAGTATATAGTGCAGGGGTCAGGACTATGGATGTATGTATAAACAGAGTATATAGTGCAGGGGTCAGGACTATGGAATGTATAACAGAGTATATAGTGCAGGGGTCAGGAGTATGTAATGTGCAAAAGTTATATATATAAAGGGTCAGGACTCACAGTATTAGTATTCTGTAATCAGTGGAAGCTTAAATGTTTACTGTAAACAACATGTAGAGGTGAGCTGGTTCCGGTGGGACATGGTATACTTGGACAGAGGGGTGGGTGGTGGACGTGGTATACTTGGACAGAGGGGTGGTGGGTGGACGTGGTATACTTGGACAGAGGGTGGCGGTGGACGTGGTATACTTGGACAGAGGGCTGGTGGACGGACGTGGTATACTTGGACAGAGGGCTGGCAGGGGCGGTGGACGTGGTATACTTGGACAGAGGGCTGGCGGTGGACGTGGTATACTTGGACAGAGGGCTGGCGGTGGACGTGGTATACTTGGACAGAGGGGTGGGGGGTGGACGTGGTATATTTGGACAGAGGGGTGGCGGTGGACGTGGTATACTTGGACAGAGGGGTGGCGGGTGGACGTGGTATACTTGGACAGAGGGGTGGCGGTGGACGTGGTATACTTGGACAGAGGGGTGGCGGTGGACGTGGTATACTTGGACAGAGGGGTGGGGTGGACGGGTATACTTGGACAGGGAGGGGTGGCGGTGGACGTGGTATACTTGGACAGAGTTCAGGGGTGGCGGTGGACGTGGTATACTTGGACAGAGGGGTGGCGGTAAACGTCCGTGGTATACTTGGACACAGTTCCCCACACACGGCTATGTGTAAGGTAAAGTCTATGGGCTGGAAAAATCAGAATGTAAATGGATAAAAAACTGGCTAAAAGATCGTATTCAGAGAGTAGTGGTTAATGATTCATACTCTGAATGGTGGGGGGTTAGTGGGGGACCCCAAGGGTTCAGTGTTATTAGTGGGGGACAAGGGTTCAGTGTTATTGGGGTACCCAAGGTTCAGTGTATAGTGGGGGACCCCAAGGCTCAGTATTATTAGTGGGGTACCCCAAGGCTCAGTGTTATTAGTGGGGTACCCCAAAGGTTCAGTGTTATTAGTGGGGTACCCCAAGGTTCAGTGATATTAGTGGGGTACCCCAAGTTTCAGTGATATTAGTGGGGTACCCCAAGTTTCAGTGATATTAGTGGGGTACCCCAAGGTTCAGTGTTATTAGTGGGGTACCCCAGGGATCAGTGTTTGGACGCTTACTTTTTAATATATTTATAAACAATATGGGGTGTGAGATTATAAATCCCATTCCAGTCTTTGCAGATGACACCAAGCTGTGGGGGGGGAATAACGTCCTTACAGGATGTCTCCAACTTACAAGCCGACCTCAATGCTCTGTGTAATTGGGGGACTATGGGGCCAATGAGGGCTAATGGTGATAAATGTAAGGTTCTGCACTTGGGGGCTAAGAATATGCATGCATCATACTCATCATAAGGGGGGTACAACAGGGGGGGTTCAATGGCGGAGAAGGATCTGGAGGGGTAGAAGTCAGTGGTGTGAGAAGGATCTGGGGGGGTCAATGGTGGAGAGAGATCTGGAGGGAGGGGTCAATATGTAGATGAAGGATCTGGGGGGTCAATGGTGGAGAAGGATCTGGGAGTTCTGATAAATCACAAGCTTAATAATGGCATTAATGCAAAGCTGCGGGTTCTAAAGCGAGCAAAATCCTCTCTTGTATTAGGAGAGGTATAGACTCCAGAGAGAGAGATATCATTCCCCGGGTACAAATCATTAGTAAGACCTCATCTGGAATATGCAGTTCAGTTTTTTGGGCTCCAAATCACTTTTGGATTATAACTTTTATTTTTAATGGTACAACTAGATGGACTGTCTTTTGTCAGCCAGACTAACTATGTAACTATGTAGGTCCCACACCGCTGCCTCCCATCTCCTGAGACTGCACTCAGTGACTTGGGTCTGAGACACTACAGACATATCCCTCCACCCGGCACAGCCAGCAGATAACAGAGAAGGTCCCCTGGAAGAGTCAGGCACAAGGCAGGAGACCCCAGTCACATGTCCTGGGTGCCTACATTATGCAATGCTTATAGTAAAAATCAACATTTTGCTGCCAGCTGAACCCCAGAACCTCCATAAATCCAGTCTAGATACATAA